ACCCATCAGGATTTAGAGATTAGGGGCTTCCTTGAACATTTTTTCATTGTCAATTAACATACAATGCAAGCTTTTTGGGCCAATCAATCAGATTCATTTGTTCTTTCTACTGTTTAAAACAGCCATAATGTTTCTAGAGAACTAAAGACACATAATGACTCTTTCTATGGTTTTAGGGAGGAGGTGGGTCAGCTATCAAAAGGTTTCCAACTCTCCTACAGGTAAAATGGAGTCTGAAGTCAAAATGGCAGCACTTAGGACAAGGAGATTTTGCCTGTTTCCAATAGGCCCACCGTAGTGTCTACCCCATCTAGGGCCTACATTCTATAGGACTGGTCCTATAGAATGATGCCTGCAGGGATGGTCTCGTGATATTGGAGAAGAGTTTCAGTGAGCACGGTAATGATGGAGTACCAGAAACCAAAGACCTTGGACTGGACCAATGACTCACTGCAATGAACATTTGCAAATAAAGCTGACTGGACAAAAGGGTTTACTGCGTGACACAACTCAGCTTCCAACGCCACCAGGACAAATGAAGAGGTGTTAGAGGAGGGAAAGTTGGAGGCATGAAGAGGTTTTTGTTTGTTTTTTTGCTTGTCTTGATTAGATTTTTGAAAATTTTTCGTTGAGGGGGGGCCCTGCAGGGGTGAGGAGAAACTATGGAGGGACTAGGAGGTGAGTGGGATTAGGATGCATGATGTGTAACTCCCAAAGATTAAGTAAAGAAATTAAGTTAAATAAAAAAATGATATGATTTGCAGGAAAATGGATGGAACTAGAAAAAAAAATCCTATATGAGGTATTTATATCTATATGCCATAAATACAAACATGGCATGTACCCATTCATAAGGGGGCATTAGCTGTAAAGCAAAAGATAGTCATGCTGTGGTCCACAGACCCAGAGAGGCTAAGTAACAAGGAAGGCTTATGTGGGGACGAAAGACTCCCCTGGGGAAGGGGAAACAGAATAGGTTTTCAGGGTAGACTGGGGGAAGGTGGAGTTGGGAATAGGGAGGATCAACTGTGGAGGAGATACTGGGAGAAACAACTGATATTGGGGGTATTTATGTTACAAGGTGGAAACAGTGTAATGGAGGTTCCATGGAATCTTCGAGAGTATCCCAGCAAAGACTCCTAGTAATGGGAGACACGGAGCTTGAATTGGCCATCTTCTGTAACCAGACAAGGCCTCAAGTGAAGGAATTGGGACACCAACTTGGCCACAAAACCTTCAACCTACAGTTTGCCCTGCCTACAGAGTGTTCTGGGACTGGAGCCCAGGAGAATCCCCTTCAAAGAGATCTAAGACACTTCATCCAGCAACCGATGTGAGCAGATGCTGAGACCCACAGCCAACACTAGGCAGAGTTTGAGCAGTTCTGAAAAGGCAGGGGAGAAAGGATCCGAGGAACCAGAGGGGTCAGGGTCACCATGAACAGAACCCACAGAATCAACTGCCCTGGACTCATGGGGGCTCCCAGAGATCAGGGAGCCTGTAGGTGTCTGACCTTGGTCCTCTGCCCATATGTTACAGCAGGATAGCTTGGTGTTCTTGAGGGACTCCTAACAGTAGGGGCTGTCTCTGACTCTTTGGCCTGCTTGTGGGACCCTTTTCCTCCTACTGGGTTGCCTCATTCAGCCTTGATGTGACAGTTGTCATTTGCAATTCTGTGTTTAGTTGATATCCCTGGGAGGCCTGCTCATTTCTAAGGGGGAGAAAGGGGGTGGGTGTAGGTGAATCTGGGGGAAAAGGCAGCTGGCAGCAGAGACTTGTGGGGAAATAGAGGAGGAACTTCAGTGGGCTTGTGATGCATGAGAGAAGGATGAAAGCAACAACAAGACAACCAAGCAGAACTTTTCCCCTTTTGGCAAGTTATATAAACCACTAGGAAGAGGAACTCGTTCCAAACTGGAACTAGTAAGCTATTTGTTGTGGAAACGACGATCCTAATGTTTTAATACTGTTTCTGCACTGACTGGCGGTAGGCTGCAACACACCAGAAATAACTCCTTCAAAAAAATTCGACTTGCGAGTTTACCACGAGAAAAGCACTTGGCGAATTTATGTACACTGCTGCAAACTGTGTGGTAGAAGGGATCGCCACTTGTTTTCTGAGCATCATCTCATGGTGTAAGTGATGCCCTACAGATAAGCATGTCAACAGGACTCATGGTACAGCTCTGCCTTTTCTCCTCTGAAAGGAAAGGAATCAGATGGATATCCTTATAAACTGAGGTGTCTGCCTGGGTGGGTGTGAGGGGGGGTATGAGGGGGGTGTGAGAGGGTGTGAGGGGTGGGTGTGAGGGGTGGGTGTGAGGGGGGTGTGAGAGGGTGTGAGGGGTGGGTGTGAGGGGGATGTGAGGGGGGTGTGAGGGGGGTGTGAGGGGGGTGTGAGAGGGTGTGAGGGGGGTGTGAGGGGTGGGTGTGAAGGGGATGTGAGGGGGGTGTGAGAGGGTGTGAGGGGTGGGTGTGAGAGGGGTGGGTGTGAGGGGGGTGTGAGGGGATGTGAGGGGGGTGTGAGTGGGGTGGGTGTGAGGGGGGTGTGAGAGGGTGTGAGAGGTGGGTGTGAGGGGGATGTGAGGGGGGTGTGAGGGGTGGGTGTTAGGAATGGGTGTAAGGAGTGGGTGTGATGGATTGGTGTGTGGGGTGGGTGTGATGGATGGGTGTGAGGGGCTGTGAGGAGTGTGTAAGGAGTGTGGGGGTGTGTGAGGGGTTGTTGTGAGGGGTGAGTGTGGGGGAGGGCGTGAGGGGTGGGTGTGAGTGGTGGTTCTGAGGGGTGGGTTTGTGGGGTGCACCCGAGGGCAGATCTGAAGGCTGGGTCTGAGGGGTGCTGTTGTATAGGGGTTGACAGTGTGTACCCTGGAACTGAACTCTAGGTTAAATCTCAGTTCTACAATCCAGCTGCTGACCAGAGAAAGATTTTTAAGAAAATTCTTTCATTTTTTAAATTAGTAAAAAGCCTGAGAACTAACTAACATTGACAACTTCTCACAACAGATAAAATGAGCAGTACTTTAAAGGCAATCTGCTGGCCACGTAGCAACTCTCATTTAGCTTAGTGTCGCTGTAGCCAGGGACAGACTAAGGTCAGAGATACCAGACTCTAGCTTCCTGGACAGTTGGAGCTCTTGATAACTTTCTCAGTGTCACTGATTATATTTGGGAACATGAAATTCAGATTGTTTTCCTTTAAATTAGAGTGCAATATTTGCCATTCACGATCGAATCAATAATCTCAGGAGAGAATAGCAGTATGTCTCCAGGGGATCCTTAACAAACATCTAGCTCGCTTGATGAATCAGCAAGGTCGTTTATTAGTTCAGAAATGTTTGCATGGATTACCAAAGAAACATTGTTTTAGTATTTGTGAGGAGGTCAAAATAGTGACTGTCTTTAAGAATATATGAAGGTATTCCTAGGAAAGAAGATGAGGTGTTTGAAAGTCGCCAGAGTTGGTGGGGTAAGCACACAGTTCTGCCTCAGGGAGAATTCAGCTGACTGATCTCACTTTTAAATAGTACATGTTACGGAAAAACAACAAAGTATAACACAACAGTACACAAACTCAAAAATATTCTCTGTACCCCCGGGAACAGAGTGGGTACTCTTTCTCCCACCCCATTGGTATTACTTTCATTTGATGAGATGGTTTCAGGAACAAATAATTATTTTTATAATAATGTTTACTTATTAATAGTTACTTAAAGTTTATGTGGATTAGATCATACCGAGCCATTGTTCTCACTCTGATAGGCTCCCAGGCCTTGGGGGAGTGGAACTGCCTCACCCCCACCATTGGGGTCATTTTCGATTACACTCTTAATCAAGATGCTTCTCCTTTTACTGGCTGAGATGGGAGGCAAATGTGATTCTGTTTTACGGACATAGTTCTGGACTGAGCCAGTCTCAGGGGCTGTCTGTGACTTCTGTCCCAACACCTGCATCATCAGCTGATAGCTGTGCTCCAGGTGTTAGCCTGGATGCCTCTCTTATGCGCATTTAATTTTTAACTCCCACACAGAGGTGGGGTTTGGGGCTTGTTATATTTAAATAACCCTCTTTCACCTTGGGTGTCATGGATATTATAGTATCTGGAAAAAACGAGTCCTTTAACACAAGCCACGAGTGTAGATGTTATGCCAATTTTGTAAACACTGAGTCCTGGCAAATGGCTGGGGAAACACCACTGCCAAAACTGCCGTTTTCTCTGAGCTTCCCTGGGTATGTTGAGAGTTTCAAATTGGAGTATCTTGAAAAACCATTTAAACAGAATATCAAAGGAGGATATCCTTGGGCTGTTCTCACTGGTAAAAAAAAAAAACCCAAAACTTAGAAAAGGTAATATGCTAATTAATTTACCCGTGAATGCAAAGGTCTAAGGCAAATGTCTTTGGAATTATTAGTATTATTTTCCTTTGGTCCAGACCAGGGCTTTTCACCTAAACCTGTTTACTCCCTAAATCAAAGACTCATTTTTCTCAAAACCCAATGCGAATATTTTATTTATTTTTGGCATCATTTCCCCAGCTAATAAAAACTAACAGTATAAATTGTTTTTAAAGCAAATCAAGGATCAGTGATGTTTCTTGACTATTTAAACCCCACATCTTCTAGACACACACCATGCCCCTGGCCTGTGACCCAACTCCAGGAGGCCTGTTATGGCCTCATCATGGCCCCTCTTACCTTGAAACACTGTACTGGACCCATCTGGAGACTGAAGTCTTCTCTCTCTCCAAATCCCCTTTTATTTCCTCGTGGTGTTTCTACTCTCATTTCAGGGCTACAGTTTTCAAGGTTTGGGATGAAGCATGGGCCAAGTAAAAGTGTCAACACATGAAAACATCTTAAGCAATTTATTTTCCTGTTAGATTCTCTCAGAGAACTGAGAGGCGTGGGCCACTAGCAATTCTCAGAGGCAATGCATTCTGGGGGGAAGGCAGCTCCTGGCCGCAGATAGTTCCCTGTGAAATAAGATACCACCACACATTGAATTTATGTTTCCAGTATGACCTTTATTGAGCAAGGACTGATGTGACATTGAACATCGATCAACGTAAGGTTGCAAACTGTGCGGTCAGCAAGGTTCTCCCATGAGCAGAATTCCATTTTAAATGCACCAGTGAGGTAAACATAAGTATTCATATATAGCTTTCTTAAGGCTAAGAGAGTTCTGTTTCACTTATTATTATTGGCTCAGTTGGTACTTTGCATAATACATCTCAAGACATCCCCCCGAGTGCCCCTCTTCCAACAGTTTAGAAAACTGGCAAATCCCCCAGGTACATACACTATCATGCATTTGGATTCCCCCAAAGACTGAGGAGGAGGCACCCTGAGCTTGCATGCAGTTCCCTCTTATTGCACAAAGGAAAATACAATGTCTGGAGCCCCCATGGGAGAACCCATTCTGTTTTGAAGCTGTCAATCACATGCATTTTGAAATTGTCGTATGGCTTAACCTTTTGCAGTGGACTCAGATCTTAGTCACCCTGGGTGACTTCCTTGACTATGGCGTGTGAAGTGACTTTTTCTACCTTTTTAGTTGACACTAGTTTCTCCTCAAAGGTCTCCTCATGCTCTTCGACCTTTTGAGTGACGGTTACAGATTTGGTGATGTATTTGGTAGCACCATCGCCCCCCTCGCTGGTGATTTTTTCCACCTTCTTGGTCACCACCACCTTGTCCTCGTCTCCTTTCTTTTCATCTGCTGGGCTCACATCTAACCCATTAGTGACCACCCCTTTCTCCTCTTCCCTCCCACTGCCCTTTTCCTGAGTTTCCTGCTCCTCCTCTTTTCCTTCCACCTCCCCATTGATAGCTATGTCTTCCTTCCTGGATTCCTGTGGGCTGCGATCGCTCCCCTCCTCCTCACTCCCTCCCTCCTCCTCTGCCTTCTCCTTCTCCTTGACTTTCTCCTGCTGCTGAGGCTTCTCCTCTTTGGTGTCTTTCTCCAGGCTCACCTTTACCGACTTGGTGATGGTGATCACCTCCTCCACAGCTTTCTCTTTCACCGGAGACTCAGCCTTCTTCTCTGGAACATCTTTTGGCTTCTCCTCCTTTTTCTCTACCTTCTCTTCCTTGGGTGCTTCCTTGACGACGTCCTTCTTTTCTTCCTTAACTTTCTCTTCCTCCTTCTGCTCGTCTTTCCCGGCTTTGGTTTCTGGTTTTGGCTTTACCTCTTCAACTGGTGATTTTGGCACAGGAGACTTGGCTTTCTCTGGCTTCTCAATCTTGATTTCCTCCTTGCCAGCCACTTCTTCAACTTTTTCTTCAGTTTTCTTTTCCTCTTTAGCTTCTACTTCCTCTCCTTCACCTTCTGCCTCAGTCTCTCCCTCTTCTTCCTGCTCACCTTCATCCTTTTCACTGGAGCCTTCCTTCTCAGATCCTCCCTCTTCTGCCTGGTCTGACTTGGCACCTTCATCTTCCTCTTCTTCCTCCTGGCCTTCTTCTTCCTCCTTTTCCCCTTCCTCTTCTTCCTTAGCCTCAGGAGACTTCACAGGGGACTTTTCGGCTTCCTGTTCCTCTTCCTTCTCCTCCGCCTCTTCTCCCTTTTCCTCTTTGGCAGAGGCTGCCAGCTCCTCGGCAATAGCTGTGAGGGCGTCTTCCATTTCTGACTTCTCGTCTTCCACTTTTGTTTCCTCAATGATCTCCTCCACAAATTTGTGTTGGACCTTGAGCTTGGGAGCCTCGACTTTGGTCTTCTGAATCTTACTGGATATTGTGACAGAGGGCTGTCGGTGTGTGTACAGAGGCCCCGTGATGCTTCCTGAAAATGTGCTAAATCTGGTCTCTTCACCCTCCAGGAGTTTCCTAAGGAAGGAATCAAAGATGATGAGATAGGCTTGAAGACTTATGTGGCTTTGTAAGTTTCATTACTGCAAGGGTAACGCACAGGTCACTTTAGAATAAATAGAGCCACGTAAGGAAAACATTCTGCCCACCACTGCAGTGCCTACTATCACTTCATTGACGTGTTATAACATATGCAGTGGCAGAGTCTCTGAGAGTGCCAGCCAGTCCTCTGCTGCAGTATCTTGCCACGCCCAGTAGGAAATTAGCCACACCCAGACCGTGAGTCCAGCTCTGCAGCATGACTTCATGCCATTGGTGCAGTACGAATGTTCTCAGAGGGTCCCTAGTAGTCAGCTCCCTTTATCCCCCAGATGGTGGCCTCCCTCATCATTTGAACTGTCAAGATTCATGTGGATTGTTAAAGCGAATAAAATGTTCAATTTAAAAATTAAAACCATTGGACATAAATCAGAATGCTGATGACTTTAAATTATAGCTGGATGTTGATATAGGTGAACTCAGTTAAAATTTGTTCTGCTAGTTCAGTGACAGAATGTCTATTTGTACAATCATCTGATTTCCTTAAAAAGAAAGTGCAGTTTATTCTTTCTGTAAAGTCTTTACAGGAAATGATTGCTTTGTCAAGAACTGTGTGTTTTAAATCTGGTCGGCAGAAAGACAGCATGAATCAGGAGACCTATAGCCAGTCTATTGATAAAGAGATCAAACCAGTAACTGCTTATGCATTTAGTTCTATATGTTTCTACACATACATACTTGTATAGATCTCGATATATGAAAGTATTATATATGCTGTGGTCACATAGAGTGCACATATATCATCCATAGACTTAAAATAAGTGTATCTATATTCTAATGCATCTATATCTAGTCTCAGCCAGATGATGGCAACAGTATGCTATAAGAGAAAACCAGAGGTAGAATGACCTGGTGTTTGCCCTTGGCATTATAAAAGAGTTAGAATCATCAGATGAAATATTAAAAATAAAGTTAAAAATTACCCTTTCCCCACTTTTGTGATGCATTTTGGGCTTTAAAAAAATAATTATATTTTATCATATTCTTTTCCTTCCCCCAACTCCTCCCGGACCCTCCCCATTTTCACTCTTTAAAGAAGAACAAAAGTGATAAATACTTAGGATTCAATTTGTTTGTAACTGAGCAGGGGGAACAGGCCTCTGAGCCTCACACTGTCAGCTTTGGCTTAAGTGGGGGAAGGCTGTGAACCAGCAGCCTCTGCAGTGCGGATAGCGCCTGGACCAAGTCTGTGTAGAGCCTCTACCTGTATGCGGCGATCTCGATGTCCAGGGCCATCTTGACGTTGAGGAGATCCTGGTATTCTCGCAAATGACGAGCCATCTCCCACTTTGTTCCCCGAAGCTCATTTTCCAACTGCTGGATGGTGTCCTGAAAGACACAGAGAGTCTCCAGAAACTTCCTTCACAAGACACTTGCTATCCCACTCCCGGAGCTTTTTCCACATACACCCCCTCCCCCGCCACCAGCTCCATAAGTCTAAGAGATATCACTCTTAGCCCCCGCCTCTTTTCTTTTATGGTAACGGAATTCAAAACAAACCAAAAAAAAAAAAAAACCAAAACAAAAAAAAAAAACCAACCAGAGGTTTCCCAAGCACTACGGACAGGGAGATCAGTAAACCTAGAACGCCCCAAAGGGAACACTCGGACTGGGAACCCAAGGAAGGTCCTGATTGGACCTGGCCCTCCATCCCCACCCAAACTCTGGACTGAAGCCAGTTTTGAAACTCGGTCCCAGCGCGGCTGCGGCGGCGGGAGGGGGAGGATACGAGAGACTATGGTATTTCTGCTTATTAAATGACGTATTTCTTGATTACTGGAATGTGCCCCTGACTTAAAAGTAGAATCTGTCGTAGGAAAGCAAGTTTTTGAAGGAGAGGGGGATTTCTAAGCAGTTGAGATAGGTGGGTGGGGCAACGAGGAAGGGCGGGGCAAGGACCCCGGACCACAGCTAACTCGGGTCTGCCGCGCTGCGCTCGTGCGCATTGGCGAGCTGCCACCAGGGAGCGCGACCAAGAGGGCGCTCTCGAGAGTGGCGTGTCGGGGGCGCGCGGCGCTGGCGCCGGCCGGCCGCGCAGCCGCGGTTCCTACCTGGTAGCTGCTGAGGTCGTGGTTGTGGCGCTCCTCGATGTCGCTGAGCTGCCGCTCCAGGGACTCCTTAGTGCCACGCACGGATTCGAGCTCGATGCTCTTGGACTGTAGCTGGCGCCGGTATTCGGCGATCTCTTCCTTGGCGGAGCGGATGGCCTCCTTGTTCTGCTCGGCCGCCTCGGTGAGCTTGGCGTAGCGGCATTTGAACCACTCTTCGGCCTGGTGCATGTTCTGGTCTGAGTGACACTCGAGCTGGGAGCGGATCTCCTTCAGGGCCGTGGAGATGTCTGTCTTCAGGTAGTCTTTGCGCTCTACCGTGATGTGCGACGCCTGGATCTGAGCCAGCAGGTCGGCCACCTCCTCTTCGTGATTGCTTCTCAGGAAGGCCACCTCATCCTGCAGCGACTGAACCTTCTTGTCCAGCTCCACCTTTACCATCGAGGACTCCTCGATGTCTTTGCGCAGCGCTCGGATGGCAGCCTCGGTGTCGTCGCGCAGCCGCGCCTCCTCCTCGAAGCGCTCCTTGAGCCGGTGAATGTCTTCCTCCAGATGATCGGAGTCCAGCTGCACCTGCGCCTTCTCGTGGTTCACCATCTCGAGCGTGGCTCGCAGCTCTCGGATCTCCTGGTCGTAAGCATCACCCAGCTGGGCATGGGAGGCCTGTTTCTGCCGCAGAGCCTGGATCTCCGCCTCGATCTCCTTGTTCTGCTGTTCCAAGTAGTGCACTTTCTCGATGTAGCCGGCGAAGCGGTCGTTCAGTCCCTGCAGCTGCTCTTTCTCGTTGGAACGGGACAGTTTGTAGTCGCCTCCGGAGCCGCCGTTGAGCAGCGAGGAGGACTGGCTGAAGTCAAGGCTGCTCTCCGCAGAGCTGAGCATGGCCGAGCTATAGGCAAGGCGCGGAGCTAGTGCGCTGCGCTTGTAGGAGGAGGACACGGTGCTGGGCGAGCCGCGGGACCAGGACTGCGAGCGGAAGCCGCTGGACGGGGACCCGCTCACGCGGCTGAAACTGGAGCGGGTCTCGGTGACCCGCCGGTAGGCGGACGGGTTGCCCAGGGAGTCCAGAGTGTAGCTCATCTTGGAGGCCTTGGAGTGTGTGGCTGTCACAGCGTTCTGCCGGCCTCGCCGCAGCCCCTTTATAGCCGAGCAGCTGGTCCCGGGCCAGGGCCCCGCCCCGTGGAGGCGGCGGTCGAGGAGGCGGGGACTGCGGGCACCGGGCCGGGGTTGGGGGAAGGGGGAGACAAGCCCTGCGGTAATTCAGCGGCCGCTCTGCGCTCCACGTGGGCCCGCGCCACAGTGGACCCCGCACTTGGGTGCAGCCCGGCCGGTCCTTCTCCAGCGTCCCCTTGGGTCCCAGACCACTTGTCACCCTGTAGATCTCCCTTTTCTGCGTTTCACCTGCAGTTTGCAGCTCATCGCCTTGGTGCAAGTGCCGACCCTTTCTTTGTCTAGTCACTCTCCGGCCCTTTGGGCAGTTCTTCTCGGGCCTCCTGGCTCTTCTTTGGTCCCCTGCCTCTTAGTTTCTTTCTTCCGCACTTTTGGCCTTAGGCTCTGCTGTTCTTTGTCACCCCCACTCCCCTTGTGGCCCTTCCTCTCACCACCAACCCCCTCTCTTTTAGTTATCACCCGGCATTTCCCTTGGAGCCCTTGCCCTTGGAACTTTTTTTTTCTTTGCCGCTTCGTCTTTCACCCCTCTCTCCCTCTCCTACAGTCTCTTTTTTTCCACCCCCACTCTTTCTTATCGTCCTTGTCAGTCCACCCTTTTCTCCCCCTTCCCCTTGTCTTAAAGCAGGCGGAGATGAGCTGAGAGTTATGCAGAAGAAAAAAAAAAGAGAGTTTTTGATGAATGGCCGATCTGAAAACTCCGGCAAGGGGACAAAGAGGACAGGCCGGGATAATCATTTGTGTTAAAAGTGAGATGTGGCGCTCCAGTTTGCTTAACGGTTGGGGAATCTTGGCAGCTTCCAGCAGGTAAGGCGCAGGGGCGCCCAAGGATCCGGCAGCACCAGGGACAGCGCCCAGGCGGGGCCGTGGGATGCTGCTGGGTTTCCTGCCTACCAGAGCTCAGAAGAGGGTCACTTATGGCTCCTCTCCCCCAGTGAATACTAAACCTGTTTGTAGTGACTGCTTGTTTGTAGGAACCAAGCTGGAAATCCCACGCAAAGACTTCTCTGCAGTGCAGAGTTGGCGCAATGAGCAGACTGCAGATTTTGAAAACAACTAAAAATTTTTAAACTCAGTTAAGGGAAGTAGAGACTTGAAACCCAGTTTGGCTTTACCAAGAAATGATGGATGTTGGGAAAGGAGGAGACACAAGGCCTGAAATCTGAAGGTCAACTATTCCCTGGGAAGGGGGATTTGAAATCCGAGATGAAAAATCCAGGGAGATAGACCGTACGATAAGTTTGAAAAAAAAAAATGCCCTGTCATGGTTCTGTCTAGGCACTACTTTTGTGTGCTATAACTATTGACAAGGACACTCAATTAGCTTAAAACTAAATGAAAGGTTACAGAACAGATTCATCCCAATCTTGAATAAACCAGGCATTTCCCCTCCCTTAAAAAAAAAAGGAATATGTTTGCCCAGGTAGATTTTGATGGCCGATTTGGCATAGGCCAACCATCTTTTAAGCATGTTTCTTTAAGCAGACATTCTACAGGGTTGTATAGTTTTACACTGTTTGTTGTGTGTTTTTAAGTGAGAAAGCCCTTCTGTGACAGAGTTCAGAGTCCTGCCAGACAAAGTGAGGGTGGAAAGCGGGGCTCGAGCTGAGGACCGCACCAGGAGAGGCTGGCTGTGGGTCAGAGGCAGAGACAGCAAGCTGAAACGCCTTCTTTTTGGGCATATATTTTCTAATTGCCTCTTCATGATGTGATGGGGTTGAATTAATCAGTAAGGAATCACAGATGCCTTTCTCTCTGGAGACTTTAATTTTGCAGTTTTATAAGCTCTTGGCCCCATGCATTTTAAGGTAGAAGTGAGATTTTTAGAAGGAAAAAAAAGGGTTCATTTGAGGAGTTACCATTTGGTTCTAGAACATGCAACTGCAGCATTGCGGGCTGCAGACTGCGGGGGTGGAGGGTGAGGGGGTTGGGTATGAGGCCCATCTGATTTGCTGACTGTTGGTTACTGCTTAAAGTAGCGAGAGCCTAGACTCAAATCACTGAGAGGGGCACTCCACAAAGTGGAGGACTAACTTGTAAATACTGTAAAAGCCAGATTTGTTGATTGCCTATGGAAAGATAAGTGAAAATGGAAACTCCGTGGGTCTGTCAAACGTGGGCTAGCAGGGTGGGACCTCAGCTGGATGCCATCTAGATACCGCTGCATCCTAGCAATGCAGCATTTATGCATGAGCTATGCGTTACTGCCTGCTTTTACTGAGATGTAGAAAGCCGTCAGCAGCATCTTGCTGCACGCTCACGGGGAGAGCTCTCTGCAGGGACAGCACATGGGTGGCCAACAGGCTTTAGCTGCGAGTTTTCTGCGGGGCTTTGGTAATGAGATGACGCTGCAGAGACATTTACAAGGAAACACATGTTTAATTTCACAATCATCCTGTTTTGCCTCATATCTAAACTAGCTAAAAAAAATTGTTAAGTGTGCAACCGGTTATAGAGAGGAAAATGCTGCTTCCAAACAAAGTCATGGCCAATTACTTAGGCTAAAGCCGGTGCTTATAGTTTAACATTGTAGCTTCAATGTCACCGGAACTGTTGATCAGTCTGGGCCGTTAAGGGACAGTGCAGGGTCTTATAAGTCCCTCTGTTAAGGGGAAATTGTGCCAATGGTTTAAACATTGTTGTTTCAGCCCCATCACAGCCTTCCACTTTAGACGTTGCTCTTTCATTTCTGACTTGCTCCTGAAGGTGATTTGAAGGTTAAACCCTTCATTCAATCTCTTTATTATTATTGCTTTTTAAAAAAAGGGCTATAGTAACTAATCTTCTTTACTTTTCTGTCCTGGGTTTTTGAAGAAAATTTACCTCCTTGATGTTTTTCATAGAAAGAAATGTTTGTGCCTGTTTCCCCTTGGTGACATTGTAGCGACGAGCTGGGACATACCAGCACCAGTCGGGTGCCAGTGAAAGGCTGTCTGAGTTACCACACTGTGGGGCTGGCACTGAGTTTACTACAGCACTTTTGCGGTTTATTCTAAAGAAGGAACCTCCACATATGATCCAGATATAAGAGTTTTAATGACCTTATCTCTGAATTGTTGCGTAAGATACTGTCTGTTTTGAGTCACTTTTTTTTTTTGAGAATGCAAGAACATTTTTCTATTTCTGCATTCCTCACTAGGACACATTCGAATGTTAACTTAGTTAAGAGAATCACTGTGAGGTATTTGAGGGGCTGTGTAATGAAAATGGAAATGCAGTCTTTGCATACAAAGTTAATTTATTGGGTCATAAGTAAAGATGTATATTTTCAAATGAATCAAGTGTTTTTCTCTCCCTTTTCTACTTTCTTAGTTTTTTCTTTTAGAATTTTAATACACACACACACACACGCACATGCACATGCATGGAGGATGTCAGCAAGAAAGGGCTCTGGAAATAACGAAGAGGAAAGAGGAAGAAAGGAAGGGAAGGAGAGAGGGAGAGGAGAGGAAGAAGGAAGCCACACTGCCTAGTTGGTAGGTTGCACCTGCCTCCGGTGAGATCTGCAGCCTGCTGAGACCTGAGTCTGATCCTGTTGCCTGGGATCTGCTTCTAGGACCTGTAATGAAAACTTGTTTATGGCTCGCCCTTTGCTGATTATTAAAGGGGTGGTTGATGTGGGAGGTCCAGAACACTGTCTGCCGGGAAGGAGACTCTGAGGGAGTAGAAAACCAGACCACTTATTTCTACTTGAGCCTCCGATGTCAAACTTTATTAGCCGGCCATGCTTGCTCACTTGTTTCAGCTGCTGAAAGAAACATAATAATGTCCTTGGGAGAGAAAGACTGTCCCCCCTCCCTTCCCCCGACAATTGGGTCATATGTATATGTTGCACTGTTTTAAATCAGAACAAACCCATCTGGCCCAGCATCCCTTTTCTGATATTGAGTCACTGACTGTACGCTTACTTCTGTTACTGAATATTTTTACATTGAATACTATATTGTATTTCTGACAATTCCTACCATTATAACGTTCATCCGAAGTCTTCAGAAATCTTAAACTATTCCATCTTTAGGTTTCTTGGACATGAAAGAAATCAGCTAAGGGGTTTTCTCTGTGGAAATTTCATGTTTTCTGGGGAAAGCTGTGACTTTCGGCTTAAACCTGGCTGGCTGGTTTTCCTTTTTGCTGTGTAATGCTGCCTTTCTTCTGAGAGTCGTTTCCGTGAAAGGCAGAGCAAGGAGACTTAGGCTTTATAAAAAACAAAACACAACAAAACAAAAAACCACCAGAGCTTTGCCGAGAGGAATCCTGGAGGTAAAGCTCAGAGGAGTTGAAAAAATATTATTATATTAATTTGCGTCGTGTTTTTAATAGCCAAGCTGGCTTTCCCTCAGTCAGGACAGCTCTTGATGAGGTGTAATTGAACTCTTAAAGCTGTAGTGCCTGCAATTTTGCCCCAGGGCAGCCCTGTCACAGTGAATCTTAGTTCAAACTTACTGCGACTTAGTGAGACAGGGTTCTCTTATTGGAGACGTTTCATTAGGACGGTCTTTGTAACCATCACAGATCTGCCATCCATGGTTTTGGGATCAGATTTCTGAGAAGAACTCAAATTCAGTAATATAAATTTTAAAAAAATCTCATCTAGTAAATAGTCATTATTTCAATGATGAGTTCTTTTACTCCGTCTTGACTGTCCTGCAAAGCAGTATTCCCTCACAGACCTCTGCAGACAGCTCACGGGCAGAACCCGGATGCCCTTTTGATTGTCAAGAACATCACAGACTTAAAACTATTTTATTCATTGGCTGTGTGTAAAATAGAAATTTACAAAATGCAGAGAGACAATGATACATCTTCTATTCTAGTTCATAAATGAATCTAAATACATTTGTTTATGTAATAGTATGCATATTTTCCAAACAAATGGAAAATACAGAGCCATGTGCCATGGAAATTGGGTTTGAGCCTTGTATTTAAACCTGAACTTTCCAGTCTAAATAAAG